AATGGCTAAGTGCTTGTCGGGACACTGGCTGACACTCCCAAATAGCCGCTCATCAGCTCGGTAGGCCTTCTCGCTGTGTCCGGACAGATCTCCCTCCTACCGGGCCAGCTGGACCACAACCAGGTGGGCTCCTCCTGGCTGTTGTCAATGCGCACTCAGGACAGCCAGTACCTGCACCACGAGTTCCAGGTACCCCAAGTCCTGGGGCTGATCATTTCAGTAGCCCACGTGAGGCCAAGCGGTTTCCTACATGGTGTGAAGGGGCCACCTCCCTAGCAGCCGCTGCTGGGCACTGTGCTGCTCCCCCAGGCCCGCCAGCTCCCCCAGTGGAAAGAAGCTGATGTCTCTCAGATTGGCTCCAGGATAGTTGTTCCGTCTCTGGGCCTGGAGGTCTAGGGGGACTCTCCTCCTTTTGGGCTTGAGCCCCAAGCTTCTCAACTCCCATCCGAAAGGTTGGCAGGTCAAACCCACCCAAAGGCATTGTGGGAGAGAAAGCCTGGCCATCTGCTTCCCGAGAGATTCCAGAGAGCCGAACACGTGCTGCCCTCAAGCCCATGCTGACCGGCGCAACCGGCCCCATGGGTTGGCGAGACGGCCACTGTGGACGGGAGTAGAAAGCCCCGTCTCTCCTCCTCAGAGCTGCTGCTGGCTGCGAACTGCTGACCATGCAGATCGCAGCCCAACTCAGAACCACTCGACCCACCTCCCCGGGCTCCCCCCAAAAAAAGATGACAGGCAAGAAAACACTCCGGAGCCGTTTGAATCCACACACACGGGGTCTCCAGGAGTCGTCCAAGTCCCCCCTAAGACATACAGCAACACTAAACACCTCCCTGCACGCGCACACACATACACGCACGTGCACACATACCTGCCTCCACCAACAGCCGCACGCCTTCGCCCTCGTCCTCCACCAGCTCCGGAATCTCCACAGCGACCCGGCACACGTACTGCCCACTGTCGTTAGTGCTCACTGGGTCCAGTCCCAGGGCCAGGTTCCCCGGGGGCCACCAGGAGAGCCGTCCCGGCTCACAGGTCTCCATTCTGAGACTGCCGTTGGTGACCACCGAGTGACACAAGGTTTGGCCATCCTTGATCCAGGAGACTCGGAGCCGCTCCCAGGCCTGGGCACGGGCCACCTGGCAGGTCAGGGTCACCTGACTGCCCTGCTCCACACACAGTGATGGGGGTGCCTGCTTCACGCTCAGACTTGTGGTTCCTTGTAGGGCTGGGGGACAGGAGAGGAAGGGGGTGGTCGGTGTGTGTGTGTGTGTGTGTGTGTGTGTGTGTGTGTGTGTGTTAGCGAGCTGCAGGGATGAGGGATTAAGGGAGACACTGAAGACTCAAGGAAGCCATGAATCC